CTGAACACATCAACACACACAATACTGGGGTGATGAGCATCATAGAAAAGCCTATGAACATCCATAACCCGCTCCCCACTTCTGTAACCCATTCAGAGAATTAGGCAGGAAGCAGGTCTGACCGCACCTATGCTGCAAGGCACAGCCCAGTCTTTGCCAACTCCCTCCTGCCCTGCTCCCAGCTCGGATCTGGGCTGTGAGTTACTGGCATTCCCCGGCACTCGCTCCGCTCCCCAGCTCACTCCTCTATGGAATCCCTCTTTTCTTCCTCTCCACATTGCGGACACGGCTGGAGATAAATATTGAGTGTAGCCGGACTGATCCACTTTGTAGAGCATTCAGCTGGCTCGCCAGAGAAGGGGATACAGCTGAAACTGTTGGCTGTGATTTATTTTGTGTATTATTACAGCATCTAGGAGCCCGTCATGGACCAGGACCTCACTGTGCGAGGTGCAGTACAAACACAGAAGAAAAAGACTCTCCCCACCCCCGAAGACCTTACAAGGCTTTGGAACTGCCGGTTGCCCGACCGAGGCCGCATACGATTCATTACACGTGTGGCACTCAGATCACGCAGGGGTAGTGAAGTATCGATTGAGATGCAATAAAAAGACTTTGCTTTCCTTGGCTGACCCTGGGAAAGCCGCTAGAAAATAATCTGTCCGACCCTTTATGACTACAATGCACTGAGAGATTTGGGAACAGTTTTTCAGGTGGCGTAAGGTTGACATAGCTCCATGAAGTCAGTGGAGCGAGGCTGATTTACACCGGCTGAGCATATGGCCCTCAGACTTCAAACCCCCCTGCTTTGGATCAATTGTCCCCTTAAACCTTTCTCCTGAAATGCCCAACCCTGCAGGTCTCGTAAAGCCATCAGCTTTGGCACTTGCCCTGTGAGTCAGCCCCAGTGCCTAATGCCGATGGCATTTCCTAACTGTAAACGTTAAGTAACCAAAACGCCTGCCACTTGCAATCACCATCTGTGGTGCCTACTACCTGTGCGAGTGGGCACTAGCATGAAGCGCACTGAGATAGGAAGCAGCTCCTTGATACTAGTTCTTTGTGCCTGTCGTTCCATCTCCCAGAACCTACTCCTTGCTTAACGGGGAGGTATTGTTGTATTAGGAAGGTCAGTTTCGGCAGGGCTGCTTGAAAGAAATATAATAAAACCAGAGAGTCAAAAAAACCTCTGACTCACGGTGAGTTCAATCAATCAACCAGCCAATCCACCTGCCTGCAGTGGAGAGGAACCAGCAGGGCTGAGTCTCTGTCCCAAGGGAAGGGAGGAAGAAGAGACAAATCACAGTTTGTGTGAATCTCACATTCCGCCACAATCACACACACCCTTTCTGACAAGATGACCGTCCTACAGACTAAAGGATTAGACTAGAGACTGGAGCTTTAGCGAGTAAAGCCCACAGCATACTGAGCCTAATTCTTCATGGTCCTGAGCCTCATGAAGTCATTTACACTTGTGCAAAGTGGGTGTGAAATGCCATCAGAGCAGAAGGGGAGTGATTTAGGCTCCCTGGTGTAAATGGCTGCATAATGCACAGGGCCACTGTAGAATCAGGCCCTGCTTCTTCCACATCAGAGGACAATACAGTCCTCGGTCCGAAACATTTGCAGGATCAAGCCCTTCCTTAGATAAGCCGACTCTCTGGGCCGCTCTGAAGGCGACTCGCTCATTTCATTCTGCTGGGATCATTCTGTAGAGGGGGTTGGGAATGTCAAACCCGCCAGGTGCCCTCCGCCACCCACGCTCACCAGGCTGGAATACTAATTGCCAGTTACTGACCAAGGGGATCATATTCCGAGTTCTCTGCTCTGTCTTTCCCCAGCCCTTATTCAAGGCAAGAGTGCCACGGACGCAAACAGGATTTTGCATGAGTTGAGAATGGAACGAGGGCCTCAGGTTCTGCCATTTATTTAACACTGGAATAGTAACAGTAGTAAAACTGGCTTCTGCTACAGCTTCCCAGCTGCTGGTTATGGAGTGCTCTAGTGAATAGTTAGAGAATCAGGTCTTGCTTGTGCGGTGGGTCCCACTAACCCCATTTTACAGACAGGGAACCAGAGACTCAGCAAAGATCAAGGCCTGGTTTTCAGAGATGTTTTGCAACTCCCATGTTCTAGGGAAGTAGGTGGCTAAAAGTAGGAGCAGGAGTCTCCTAAAACCACAAGTGCTGGAGGCAGGAATCACTGGATGAGATTCTCTGGCCTGTGTCGTGCAGGAGGTCCAACTAGATGATCATAATGGTCCCTTCAGACCTTAAAATCTTTCCATCTGTGAACATTTAGATGCCCAAATAAGGGCAACTGCGGGTGCCCTGGGCCTCTGAAAAAGCAGGCCATAAACAACTCACTCAATGTCACCCAGGCAGGCAGTGATGGAGCAGGGAAAAGAACTTCCCACCTGCCGACTTCTAGGCTTCAATTTGTGACTAATCTCACTTCACTGCCACTTCGGTTTCCTTGGTAGTCATCCAATTTCCTTGTGATAAACTATCTACTCAGCCCATTTTCTAATTGAGGGTTGGATCCAGAAGCAAAAATATGATTTAAACCCACCTTGGCTACCAACCACCATATATAGGTAAGAACATAAGAACTGCCATAGTGGGTCAGACCAATGGTCCAGCTAGCCCAATGTCCTGTCTTCCAACAGTGGCCAATGCCAGGTGCATCAGAGGGAATGAACAGAACAGGGCAATTTATTGAGCGATCCATTCCCTGTCATCCACTCCCAGCTTCTGGCAAATAGAGGTTAGGGACTCTCAGGGTATGGGGTTGCATCCCTGCCCATCCTGGCTAATAGCCATTGATAGGCCTATTCGCCATGAACGTATCTAGTTCTTTTTTGAACCCTATTATACTTTTGGCCTTCACAGCATCCCCTGGCAATGAGTTCCAGAGGTTGACTGTGAATCATTTGAAGAAGTACTTGCTTCTGGTTGTTTTAAACCTGCTGCCTATTAATTAGTAAGTAATCACTGCAACCATATGCCTTTAAAAACTTCCCTGGTTCACATTTTTAAACCTTCACCCAGCCCCAGCAATACTGGGAATTTCCCTTCCCTTCGTGCAGAGGTAAAACTGACCTGACGGCCCCTGCTAAGCTCTCTGGATACAATGAGGAGAATTCAGAGGGGGCTTAGTACTGGCTAATAAAACTTGCAAGAAGGTGACAGGTTTGCGAAGGCAGGCAAAGTGCAGATGCAGATTCTTCCGTTTCTTAAAATAATATTTAGACAGGACACATTTTCCCCCCTAACACGAACAAACCCCGCCATGACCAGCTCTGGCTGTGTTTGTGTTTCTGTGCAATGGGATTGCTTCATACTTGGAGACAAACTCCCCTCTCTAGACGGAAAGGACTTCTTGACACCAACCCAGCCGCGTGCACGGGGGTTTTCCTCCAGCTGGATGGGAAGCGGGAGACGTGCGTGTACTGGGGACACGTGGGAAGGGAAGCTGTGCTAGGCATGGGTCTGGCTCCCACCGTAAAACCTTCTTGTGATAAACCCGCTTAATGAAATGACAAGATCATCTCCATTTAGGGACACACTGCACCCCCTTGGCGCTGGGTGCCGGGCGAGGGAGAATCGACTCCATCGACTTCAGGGGCTGTCAGAGCCAGCCATGGATTGGGAGACTTGAAACGTTCTCCACCAAACTTCACTACAGAGGAGTCCTTCATTCTGGACAGACTCCAGCAGACAGACGGGAGCACGATCCTGAGTCCAAGCTCTGAGCGGGCCACATTCTGTCCCCCGGAGGATGCAGCAAGTGTAACTGAAAGGCCTGAATTTGACCCATTGACTTCAATATGGGTTTTGCCCAAGTAAGAGCTGCAGTATTTGGCCCCAAGTTACAGGCCCGACTTTGCTGCCTTTGCTCGCATTGAGCAGCATCTCGCTAGGGACCAGATCCAAAGTCCGCGAAGGTACAGAAGAACCTGAGAGTTAGGGACACCAGAGTTACGACCTGGCCAGTCAACCCCATTGGGAACCGGAAGCACGCAACCAGGCAGGAGCGGAGACCAAAAAATAAAGCAAACACAGTGCCGTGCTGTGTAAAATGTAAGCTACTCGAACGTGAAAAGGAAAAACAGCAGCTTTTTCTTCTGCCCAGAATGGTTTCGAAGCTGTATTAAGCCAATGCTCAGGTATCAACTTTTGAAAGTACAGCCGTAACGTTTGGTTCAGAGGTACGAACAAGCTCTAGTCCCGAGGGGTCTGCGACTCTGAGGTTCTACTGTAACGGGCCTCCTCTGGAGGACAGGCACAACTGAGTAAAGGGGGCAGACTCCGGCCCCTCGTCCCAGGTCAGCACTCTTACAGGGACGACTTGTGATGGTTTTGCTCCTGCTCTACTAGGACCTAGCGAAGATCGGATCCGGGACAACACCACCTGCCCATTTGTATTTTTAAAAATAAATACAGCCCCCCACACACCCTCCCCCGAAGCAAAGGTAGAAACACGTGAAAAGCAGCCAGCAGTTCCCCCACCCCTGCTGCAGGGTCCCTACCTGCCCTTACAGTGGCTAGTGATCCCAGGACAAATCCACCCCCTTTCCCTTTCAATGAACCAAAAGCATAAAACATTTTCTAGCCATCTGGAGATCTGAGGTTAAAAAGAGCCACCAGGGAAACCAGCTGAGCCAAGCGACCAGAGGGGAATGGTTTATTTCACGCATATGTAAAAGCAGCAGAAACTTCTGATTTACCAGCCTGCTCTCCGGAACACCCATAACCAGGAAACTGGGCTAAGATCCCTTTGGCTTCTTTATGAACTTTCAAAGGCGGGAGGGGGGATGAGAAGCAGCCTCCCCAGACGGACTTAGTCAATCAAACCTTGACTGTCCAGGTGGACCCACCCTGTGCTTGCCTAGGGAGGGGCTCAGAGCCGGGGGGGGGGAGGTATCCCTCCAATGCCCCCCCCCCGCCGCCCCCAGACTGGGGCTGAAGGAGCAGCCCAGGGAGACAGGCTATCCCTACCTTTAAGCCCGGCCAGTCCAGACTCCTCAATTGCGTCTCCTGCTGGGTCCCGAGGGAGAGAAATCTCTCCGCTCCCGAGCCATGAAGAGCAGGGTCAAGTCCCCCGGGTCCACGCCCTCCATCGAAGGAGCCAGGCAGCGCAAGGACCAGTCCCCACACGGCCGATTAACTCCTCACGCCAGGCTGGAGCAGCGGGCAGGCTCCGGCTGGCCTCCTGCTCGGGTCCAGCGCATCCTCACCGGGAAGTCCCATCGCGGCCCCGTCCGGGCTCCAAGTATCCAAGAGGCGTCAGGAGCATCGCAGCCGCCCGCCAGGGGCAGGGACCGGCGCCCGCCTCCCCGGACTAGGGTCGGGCAGGCTGAGAGAGGGGCCCCCGGAGTCCTGCACCCCAAACGCCGCGCACGTGGCTGGGAGCCGGCTGCCTCTCCCTCCCCGTCCAGGCGGAGACCCAGAGGGTGGCAGGCGGCTCTCCGGTGCCCTTGGCTGCCCTGCAAATCCAACCCACCCCTCTCCAGCCCCGCGGCAGCTGGGCAGAAGGGCTCCTTGGGGGAGGCGAGCGCAGGCAGCCGCTCCGACCCCTCGTCCCCTGGGTACGGGGGGTGATGCCCCAGGGATCTGGTTAGCTCTGCCTGGATTTCGCAGGCGCCTTCTTGCCTAGGAGCGGGGCAGCTGCCCTACCCTCCGCCCGGCTAATTCCCCTCCGGAGCCCAACAGCGGCGGGCGATCCCCGAGCGCCTCCTCCTTGGGCTCCCACTTCCAGGTCCAGTTCCTCCTGCGGGCAGATCCTCCTGGCCCGGCTCAGTCCCTGGCGGACCCCGCAGCCTCTGCCCCGCACCCCCCGCCTGCCCGTCTGCGCCCCGAGCAGGACCCTCCAAGTGCGGGGGCTGCGCTGGGCACGGAGGAGGGGGAGCGCGCTGGGGAAAGGTACAGCGACTCTCCGGGCTCGGCAGAAGATGCGAAGGGAGGAGCCGGGCTGGGGCGGGGCCCGGCGCGAAGGAGGCAGCCGGGTGGCGGGTTTGGGGCGGGCTCCTCCCAGGCTCGGGTTACCCGATCTGCCAAATAGGTTAATGGGGCCCTGGCTGCGGGGCGGGCGGGGTCGGAGAGCCAGGCAGGGACCGAGACGGGCAATGCGAGGAGCCAGTCGCATTGCGAGGAGAGCCACGGGGGATTATCTGCGATCCGCGGGGAGGGGGGGGCATTCATCGCTCTCCAGCCAGCCGCCCCCCTGCCCCGGCTCCAGCCTTCCCCCTGCTGCCCCGCCGCCACCACCGGCTGGCGCCCCGGTTGCGCCGTGCGCGCAGGGCGCATCGCCCGGGAAAGCGCCGCCGAGCCCCGGGACGTGTCCTCGGGGCAGCTCCCAGCACGGCTCCGGGCAGCGCCGGGCCGCCGGGCCGAGGGAGAGCGCTCTGGGGGGAGCTCGGCTGAGCCCGTCCTGCCGCAGCCAGCCCCGAAACCACGCGCTGGGCTTGGTCCGGACGCAGCTCCGAGCCGGAGCGCGGCCGCCGCCGCCGCCGCAATCGGCCAGCAAGGTGGATTAGCCAAGCCCGCGGGTGCTTCCGGGCCATGCTGGGGTGTTTCACTTCTGCCATCTCTTCCCAGGCTGGGTATTGATCTGACTGCTCACGGCTGGGAAGGGAGCCAGGGTCGTCCCCCCACCCCCGGGCAATGCAAAGGTGTGAAAGGCCTTATGCAAACTAGGGGAGCTGAGATCACCCCAGGCCTTCTCAGGGAAAGCGATTCTGTTGCGAGAGCCCTATTTCTCACCCCCATTTCCTCCCGCCCTCATAACTCCCTCATCGACGTAAAAAAATGCAGTCCAGTCCCTCTGGACCTCTGATTTCCGTGCAGACTTGGAAACAGGTTTTTTGGAATAAAGGGGTTCTCAGACCGGGGGTTGGGACCCCTCGGGGGTCGCAAGGTGGTTACATGGGGGTCAGGAGCTGCCAGCTCCCTGGGGTTGACAGGCCTGAGCCCCCATTAAATTAAATTGCCCTGCCATTTTTAATGTATAAGGGGGGAGGGAGTCACACGCAGAGGCTTGCTGTGTGCAGGGGGGCACCAGTACAAAAAGTTTGAAAACCACAAAGATGATGGAGGAGCAGCAGTGTCTGGATGGTGCTTTCTGTGGTTGGCCTGAAATTTCCCATATTTGGGGTCCCAGTCTAACAAATAGAATACCAGGCTTGGACAGGACCTCAGGAGGGCATCTAGTCCAACCTCCTGCTCCAAGCAGGGCCAATCGCCAATTTTTGCCCCAGATCCCAAATGGCCCCCTCAAGGATTGAGCTCACAACCCTGAGTTTAGCAGGCCACTGCTCAAACCACTGAGCTATCCCTCCCCCCGCTGCTTGAGATGATTAACTTGATGTATGCTCATAAATAGTTCCATCTGGCCTGATTCTCTGGGGCTCTGTGCTCTGAGCAGTCACTTGTGCCAGTGGGTGCAGAACTGGTAAATCATAAAGAAGCCAAAGGGATCTTAGCCCAGTTTCCTGGTTATGGGTGTTCCGGAGAGCAGGCTGGTAAATCAGAAGTTTCTGCTGCTTTTACATATGCGTGAAATAAACCATTCCCCTCTGGTCGCTTGGCTCAGCTGGTTTCCCTGGTGGCTCTTTTGTGATTGGGTAGCATTTGATGCCCATTTTGCACAGGTGTTGATGACAGCAAGGCTCAGGGCAGTGGAGGATCAGGCTGGAATATCAAGTGCAGTGCTGGCCACCGCAGCCCCTTACCAGAAGCTGGGCATGGACGACAGAGGAGGGATCACTGGATGATTCCCTGTTCTGTTCATTCCCTCTGAAGCAACTGCCATTGCCCAGGATACTAGGCTAGATGGACCATTGGGCTGACCCAGTCTGGCTGTTCTTGTATGATATTACGGAACAAAAGGTGGTTCAAAGGGAGCAGTGAGGATGATCAAGGGCCTGGAAAACCTCCTGTGGAGGGAGGCTGAAAAGATTGGGATGGTTACATTAGAAAGGAGACGAATAAGAGAGGACATGATGAAAATGTATAAAATAATGGATGGGATAGGGAAGGGAGACCAGGAGCTTCTGTTTTCCCTGTCACATGACCCAAGAACCAAAGGAGAGAAATTCAAGAGTGATGAAAGGACATGCCCTTTCACACAATTTATGATTAGACTGTGGAACTCACTGCCACAGGAAGTCATTGAGGCCACAAACTTAATATTTTTAAAGGGACAGGACACTTATGAATACAAAGAATGTCCAGAGTCATGCCTCAGGGTTTAAGCCAATCAGGCAGATTGAGACAGAATGTGAGGGGCAGATTTATCCCACAAGGGGTTCTGACACCTTCTGCTGATGCTGGTCAATGTCAGAATTGGCAGGATTCAAGGGTGGGTGGACCCTGGTTCTGATCCAGTCTGGCGATTCATATGTTCCTACTCATTGACTTCAATGAGGCTACCTTACATGCCTAAAGTTACTCCTGGGTAAAAGTGTTTGCAGGTGTAGGGTCTTGATTTATCTGCCCACAGGTTATTTTGTTTTAAATAAAAGCGAGGAGCAGTGAACATATTTTAAAATTCTTGCCACACTTTTTTAAACAGGTCAACAGCAGAAATTGCTGAAATTTGAAACTCGGCCTCGATGCCATCCATGTTTAGGTGTATGTTGCTTAAAGGAGGGAGATGGGGGTAGGTACCTTACCAGGCCCAGGTGATGGGTGTGAAAGGTGAAGGAAGTAAGCAGTGGAAGTGGGATAAAGGAGAGATAAGGTGGGAAGGGGGATGGCTGCTGCTTTCTCCTCTCTGGGAGTACTGGAAGTGAGGGGCTGTGAGAAGCAGGCATTGGCTGACGTCCTACATCTCGCTGGGAGCAAAGCAGACAGCCAGACTCAAAACTGAACCGAACCAGGGGTCAAAACTGAAAACAGAGCCGAACCTTCGGCCTCTTAGAAGTTCAAGAAATCTGTCGAGAACATTTGCGTACATTGGACTTCACATTGTGCTCCAGGCCCTGCTCTTCTAGGCAGCCAGCAGCACCAGAAGCTGAAGTGCCAGATGTTGTGGTCCTTTCTCCGAAGGAAGCAGGCAATCAGTAGGGTTGAAATGGTGCTCTTGCAGTCAGGGGAGTTTGTTGCATAAAGCATCCACTAGCTCTCTCCTGGCTTTCCTTTCTGACTCCTGCCTGCAGCTCCCCCTTGTGTCAAGCATGTATTCCATCTGCTCTCCCACTCTGCTAGCATTTTGGCTGGATGGGGCAGCCCTGAGCAAAGGGTGGTGCATGAACTGTTCCACCTCAGCAAGCCCCATGACTCAGAGATGCCCCTTTGAGTCACACCACCTCCCTGCTTCCTCTGTGCTCCCAGGGGATAGTAATTACTGCTGGCCTACATCCCCCAATGCTGGCTCAGCTCCTCTGGCAGGTGAGTAAGGGTTGCAGATATGTGCCTACCCATTCCCTGCCTTACACACTCTCTGTCTCTCCAAAGAAACACTAAGCAGGCCAGTAGCCCGTTACCCTTACATGGCTGGGTAAGGGTGGGGGGTTCTTATCCTTTGTGCAGACGTGTTGCTCAAGTTACACCCTAGCCCTTAGCACTGGGCACAATCAAAATACCATGTGGTGGGCTGCTCAGAGGGTATCACTGGCCCAGGTGGAAGGATTAGAAGCATCCCTGCAGAACCTGTTCTTCCAGCCCAGTTTGGCAGACTCATCCAAACCGAACCAAACCTGTGAGCCACTTTAGCACATAACTCTCAGAGAGAGGCTGTTGTGATCTTTCTTGGCATGATGTTTTTGTGGGCAGCTTTGAAGGGAAGGGGAAAAAAAATGCAGAATTGTGATTGGAGTGGGGGACAGTGCACAGCGCAAAACTGCCCTGGTGGTCTACTATTTTCTGGAAATTAAAGCCAAATAGCAATTAGAAATAAGGCCCAAACTTTGAACAGAGGGCAATTAATGATTGGAACAAACTACCAAGGGGAGTGCTACTTTAAAAAAAACCAAACACCCCACTCTCTCTGATATTATGGTAAGGGGCCAGATAAGTACCCATGAGTCTCACACTCTCAGACTTGCAACAGCCCTGCCAGGTAGGGAGATGCTTTTATCCCCATTGTAGAGATGGGAACTAAG